AGTTAGCGCATTTTGTAGCTGAAGGCCTTCGGCCGAATGTTCAGAGCTAGTGTACTGGTTAGATACTTGAGCAGTTCGGACTTTCACCTTTGGAGTGATTGTCAAATGTTCAGAGCTAGTGATTGGTTGGATACTTCAGCAGTTCGGCCTTACACATTCGGGTGATTGTTCCTGTTTGTACTCCTTCGGGATTTTTCCCCCTGAATGCCAAAGTGAAGTTTTGTTACTTTGAGTAAACCTTGGTTAACAATTCAGGTTGTATGCTGCCTGAGGCGCCTTCGGGTGTAGCCTCCGCAATATTTCTGGGAATGACTAGTGCCTGAGAATTCAAACTCGTCAATAGACTGTTATGGTGTGACACTGGATCTTTTCTCAGTTGAGTTTCTCAGTTTGGTTCCTGTATTCTCTGCGCGTTTTGTGAGTTGAGTGTGTTGTTCACCGCGTGAGAGTGACTTCTGTTTGACGAAGGTACCGCATCCAAAGTAGGAAGTCCAACCCGGATGCTCTACTCTAGCCGTCAGAGTTAACAATCCGGAGTTGGGGAACATTACATGCAGACCCTCTGAATGTACTTGTGAGAAACTTTCCCCCCTGAACCTTGAGTGGAGGTCCTAATCGACCTCTTAGTTGTGCTTTTCCAGTTTCAGGTGTGTGTTGGGGTGAACTACGCTGCACTCTGCGTCCTTTGAGTGACCTCTGAGTTGAGCACTTGCAGTATTTCTGGGAGTGACAGTCGCTTGAGAATTCAAACTCTTCAAAAGTGTGTTAAAACGTGACACTTTGTACTCTGTGTGTTGACTCTGTCCTTGTGGGTTCGACCTTTTTGCTGCTATACTGCAGTTTTAGCCTTTGGTGGGTTATTACAAATATCAAGATAATATTCATGCAGTATACATTGATTCACGCTCATACTGTGCACGTCATGGCTGGTCCGCTAGATCTCCTTAAACAGTAGGAAATCCGGGAGCATGTATTGGGAAGTAAGGGGAATCATGCATTGTGTGGTGCATTGATTGGCCAGATATTATGAGATTGAATGCAAGGTTTAGAATTCGATTGCAGTACGGCGGTTTATCCGAGGGCGCTCATGGAAAATCGTAGAGGTTTAGAGGAAAATTCACAGCTCGGAGCTTGTGATTGGAGAAAGAATGTGCAAGTCTCCTTCAGGACAGCTTATCACATGTCGCTGAAAAGAAAATGAGTGTAGTGTAAATTAGAGAGGTTTTTGCTCAAATACTTGATTTTACAACCATCTTCAGTCTCACGATTTGAGCTAGCACATAAGTTAAAGTTAGCAAATTGAAGTTGACAACGCAAAATGAGAAGGATTGTATCACATATTGTCGAATGTGCCATTTTTATTAGATTTTCCTCGAATCAATGTTGGCTAATACGCTTCAAAAACCCGAACCCATACTCGGACGATGAGAACAAGCACACGGGACGCACGACAAAGCTAGCTGACTAATACGCTTCAGAAACCCGAACCCATCCTCGAACAATGGAAACAAGCTCACGCTACGCAGTACCTGCTACTCCAGCTTCACACCGCGAGCAACATTTCTGCATCAAAACGCCGACACATCACCGCCGAATTTTGAAGACATCATATTGTGCAGAGCCACTCCACCGAGTGCAACATTTCTGCATCAAAATGCCGACACATCACCGCCAAATTTCGAAGATTTCATACGGGGCAGAGCCACTCCTCTAGCAGGCGCTGTGCACGACACCAACAAACTCCCGCCCTGAGCCAACATGCTGCCTGCCATCGAGCTCGGCCCGCTTGTATGTCAGTGGAAACAAGTTGTAAGGACATGGCATTTGTTATCTTTACAAGAAATGTCGTGGTACTTGACCCTAGCCGTCCACTCCGAGTACTATCCTTGTCTAAATATAGCCCCAACTTGGCACGCATATTATCTCGATTGCATTTGACCGGTTTTGTAAAGACCTCCTTACTTCTTTTCCTAGCTTTAGAATTCATCTATTTTTAGTTAACGATCATTGATTTTAATTTTCACTTGAGATTGACCCAAGTGAAATGTTTTTTAATGTACAAGTACTATTATCTTACACAATTTACAAGCATTGTATTTATTTACTCTTTCATCGAATCTTTTTACTTTACTTTATCGTATATTTTAAATTCCACTGTCGTTGATGTCCTTGATTTATGGTGGTTGTGATTGATTTGTTGATCTTTCCTGCTTTGACCATGACTACGTGGGTGTGTGCGAGTGTGAGCAAATAGAATTCCTCTGGCAGCTGCTGAGACACTTTCACTCCTTAAAATTGCACTTTCATGAAATTTTCGCCATGGTCAATACATCTGAAGTAAACTCAGCCGATGTCAGAGGACCATGTCATGGGCCACGTAAGTAGGGTCATGTCTCAGCTGATGCCATATGATTTCTATTTTGTCACACTCCCATCTTAAGTAAACTCCAAACGTATGATTAACCAACTCTCACTTGTCCACGTTTGACTTTGGCTATAGTCAGAAGATCCTCGGAGTGGACGCTCTACCTTGTGCACACAAAGATCGCGCTTCTTCTTCATGTCAACGATCTAGTCAGATACCCGTTAAACCAGATGTTACCCGTTTGGTATAATATCTGCAGTCTCTCTAATTACGGAAATCTGTGTCCTAGATTCTGTATATGCCGTATTTAGCTTCCACGAAGTTACGTATTTCTTCGAAAAAATACATTTGTAACAATTCTTGAATTGAATTAAACCCAGAATTATTTTCTAGGTCCGTCAAACATGTTAAGGTTCTTACATAGTTGTTTCGATTGGAACGACATCTGCAATTTTGGTCATTTTCTGCCTTCATAAATGTTGATAGATTTCACTGAACCCGGTGCAAAGCATCCATGCAACCTAAATATCTTTTATATTTTCGCATTGCATCTCGTGATACTCAATCCTCCTAGTTCAAGGGTGTTTAAGTCAAACATGCTAAAACTATCTAAGTCACCAGAGAGGAGTTCAACCAAGCAAGTTTCAACAGTTTTACCTCCTTGTTTATCTAAGTAACTTAGAGTATTGAAAACACTCAATGTTGTTCAAATAGTTTTGAATTATCAAGATTGTCTTACAATTGTTTCGCAACAAAGTGCCATTCATGAAGTATTGGAACAACACAAGCAACTTTTGGTAATTGTGTACCATGAACAACTACTTCACAATACCTTAAATCTTTTGACTTCAGTGAGGCTTGGAGTATTCCAAACATTGAGTACAGATTCATTCAACTTATCGAGTGTTTTTGAGGATTAGATTCTCTATTTCCAAACACTGTCACTTTCCAATATGAATTTTTAGTGTTAAAATATTCTCTATAGATAAAAAATAACACCAATGTAACTTAAAGGAGTTGTTCAAATTTGGAAGTTATATAGAAAAAATTTATACTAAACTCCATATATTATACCTCTTGTAGTAACACGAAAGATACTGAAGGTTCCCTATACAGAGTTAAACCTCCCAATAGTGTCACCCTTTATGAACGACATCCTCTCATTAGTGACGTAGAATCCCAGAACCATTAGTTTCTAACGTGTAAATCTACTCAATAATAACGGTACGTCACTATTCCCAATAGTGACATGATACTATACAATAGTGACAATTTCAAATGTAAAGCAAAATAAAAATTTCTATCATTATCACAATATATAGTTATGAGACTACAAAAATGTGGCATAAATATATTTAAAGGTATATCTCAACAATTCACACTTTCTGGATTTAAGTAAGGGTTTAGGTTTTAACCCTAGACCCATAATTTGCTACATATATTATCATTAATTGTTTCACTCATATGTGTGTTTATTAATCTAAATTTAAATGTAATTATAATGTCCATGTTGACCATACAGATGTGGAAATGAAGGACATTTTGAAACCAAACAACAAATTTATAGAATATCTTAGGGTGTATGCAATGCACGATAAGAAATCTATGAGATTTTAATTCTTTTAATTGACACCTCCCAATAGTGACATCTAACCCCAACACCTTGTATGTTACTATTAGGAGGTTAAATTAAAATTATGCAACTCCCAACAATGAAATTTAATGTGAACACCACTGTATGTTACAATTAGGAGGTTATACGCAGTTTACTCTTGTGAATGAAACCTTGCAATAGTGACATAAAACCCAAGTACCAATATATGTCACTATTGGGAGGTGTTACTCCGTATAGAGAGTCGTGTAGTACGTGATAGGGTCTTCCCTTCAGTTGTATTATATTACAAGGTCCCCCCTTCTTCGGCTACTGATGATATCATCAGCAACATTTTCATGTGGTGAACAAGCTCCGGACACGAATGCTGCGACAACGCAATTATTTGCCTGGGAAACTGGGTCCGCCACGATCAGACCGTGCACATCATACGTGGGAGAGCAAATGTGATGTGCGCCAGACAGAATATTCGGAACCCATTTGACATGGTCTAATACTGAATAAAGAATTGTCCATGTCAGTAGCAACCATAGCGAGCAAGTTTTTTTCGGCGGCACACAAAAGTTGGTGACAATTCATGACCACGACAGATTGCTGAAAGTGCGATCGGGAGCGTCATCTTCAATTCGATCTCCTTCGTCTGAGATCCACAATACGGTTGGAGGCATTCGTTAAGCAAACTTTTCAAACAATCAGTTATGTACACTGCAATTCAAAATGTGGGTGGTAGAGGTCTGGACAGGGCAATGTACATAAAATCATCCCATCTCTCTTGAAAGATGATAGTGAAGGACAGAAAGAACCATCTCAATGAGAAATTCACCCACTTCTGCATGTCAGTAATCAACTAGAAAGAAGCCTGGGCACCATAGCAGCGATTATGAAGAAATGAATGTTGGGTGGAGGAATGTTGTTGGGTGGGCCCGGGAGAAATTTGATGGGTGGGCCCGGGAGTTCTTCTCCTTTTGCAGTGTGCCATTCATGGCAGTTCAAGCTGCTGTGGGAGAAGACACCATGTTTGACCCAACTCCATTGAGAGGACCATACCGAGTCGGGATTGCGAGTGTAGATCTCGCTGGGACATTTAAGCTAGCTGGCGCATCCGCGCAGTAGAAGTCGGTGGGCCATCATTTTGGGTGTCCGATGCTGCACTGTGGTGTGACCCACACTAATCACCGTAGCAGACAGCAAACCATGTTCATCCTGGATGCTCCTAGTCCCTCGAGTACGCATGGAATGCATTGTCTGCATCGAGCCAGTACTGTCTGTGGATCAAGCTCAGTCAGAGTGAGGCTTGATCTCACGCTGTCTTAACGATTAATGGTTGCTCATTGTACAGCATAATCGAGTCTCCAGCCTTGAGATATCGTTCCGGTATATCCAGATTGGTTCATCTTTTCAAGGTGAGTCCGGGAATTTATCCTTTTCACTACCGCAGACGAAGGATTTCCTTACTTTATGGACCATGGATTCGCATTAAGAGCCGCGCATTATCCAGCTGCCCCCTGATCCAGATTGCTTCGATGGCATGTTTTAAACTCTACATTGAAATCTCCTGAAATCACACTCCACTCGAGACTCGTCGGCCTGCGGCTTTAGACATTCACCCACTTGGCTCACAATGGGCTCTTGCATGTGTGTGACGACCAATTAGATATGCTCCCAGTTTGTTGCATTGTATTGAAAATGTCGAAGTTAGCAGCTGATGCAATTTGGTGAATGTCGGAAGATGGATGGGTTTTCGAAAAGTGATCCTGCCTTGTGCAAATTCCAGCGGAGAAATTTGGAGTCGGGAGCTCCTCAGGATTAAATTCTAAGTGGCAGGATGAGCGTTTTGGACGTTCAAACAAACGGATTTCACCAGAGCGAAGGTTTGTGCTGAGTATGGGCTAAAGAGCATGGATGACGGCTGCTGGTTCCCACACCGTTCTTCTTCGAGCTCTTCCTTCGCATCCGCACAATGCTGGTGGAGTGACGTGAAGCTCATTCGTATTTTTGACAGCCCTCGCCACTACTGATGTCTGTGCGAAATGCCCATGACTGCAGATCCGGAGATGATACCCACGGAAGTTCTCTTTGGCTACCCAAGAGAACAAGCACGGCTTTCTCCCGACGGGAAGTTCGTGGCGTACCTCAGTCCTTCTCCCGATCAAGTCTCCAATGTGGTATGTACTTGTCCAGTAATTTTCCGCTGGAATGCCCGTGCTCTTGACCACCTCAGACGATACATGGAAATTGACTTGTTTTCTCATCACACACGCTTCGTAGTCTTGAATATGGGAGTCAACAATATTCAACATTCGTCTCTCTTCCCTCCCCTCCAATACTTTGAAGAAGTGCTGCAGTTGTTATCGCCATAGTAATGAGTTTATATCTTCTTTGCAGTGGGTCCGACCCCTCGACGGGAAAGAGGAGGATGCAAAAATGGTGACGAAGGAAAACCACAGAGGAGTATGTCTTAGGCCTCCCGATAATATAGTCTGCCGTGACTTCCACTGCATTGTCTAATATTGTTGAAAACGCTATTTTGCACGCATTCATTTTAAAATCCTCGTTGCCCACCCCTCTTCAGAATCGAAGGATGAGCGACTGTCTTCGCTGAAAGGTTGGCATTGGATTGTACTGTCTTCCGGATGTAGAGCACCAGTGTGCTGTTGGCGTTGCCGCAGTGTGGATATAAAGATTGGTATAGTGCTGTTGATTTGGCACTGGAAGCTGAGCCTGTACCATCATTATTGTCGCAGATTCGGTGGTTTCTCTGGAATCCGTCAGGAGAATATATCATCTACAAGCAAGATGGCGGAGGTAGTTCACCGAATTCAAATTCCTGTTCAACGTTGCAAAACATGAATTTTTTCTCAAGATTCCAACCCTACCCAGAGCTAACTAATCCACAAAAGCATTTGGGCAAATTTCGTGAACTTCGTTCTGTCTCTGCACAGAAGAAACTTGTAATGTTGTGCATAGCCATGTGATCTGAATAATACAGAAGATGGATACCTACTGCAACTGTGTAGAAAAACTGACGAAAATCTGCTCTTATTGTAGGTGATGAAGACTGGCATCACTTCGCAGTGGATTTGGCCAGCGGAGACATTCGGGACCTAACTCCTTACGACAATGTGTCCAGCAGATTGATGCCAAGCAGTATTAGTGGGTTACGTCCATACGACATGTGCTTTTACATGAACATCCGCGAAAAAAGTGATTTCGACGTGGTGAGTTGACCGATAAGTGTTTAGAAAGTAATGCATGACATAGAAACCTCTTCTTGTGTTGGCTCTGCTAATTTAGCTCGTAATTTGAGGTCTCCACTCTTCTCCACTTGTTTGTGCAAGTATCAGGCTAAAATACAAGCGCAACAGTACTCACTTATGTTCTAGGAGAGTACAGTACTCTTCTTGTTCAAGCTTTTCCTTCTAATCGACATCTCCTCCTGAATATCGCTTTGTCATTGCAGTATAAGATCAACATCAAGACAGGGGATGTTGTGTTAGACACGGAGAATCCTGGAGATATACAAGACTGGTTATGTGATAGCAACTTCCAAGTTCGAGGAGCTCTGCAGTATCACCTTTCAGATGGTAGCTCGACCATTCGTGTACGAGATTCAGTAGACTCTGAATGGAGAGATGTGCTTCACTGGTCTTCACAAGAGCATGGAGCCATGGTAATCAGCATCCTGAGGGGTTGCTATTTACCGGTTCAACTATAAATCATCTAGTTTCTTCTTCTACGGCTTGTCTATTCGGGACACTGAAGTCTGGGCGAAAATCTTGAAAGAGAGCTAGTTCACCCTATCACTGTCTTATGAAGCAGTTTGAAAGAGGCTTGTTTCTAACTAGACCAGACTTTTGAGCGTCCGTTTTGTGAATTCCGAATCTCCATAGAACTATCAAATCGCATAGCATCAACCTTTTGACCATCTAATATTCTACGATGGTGACTAATGGCAGATGGGATTTGCAAGTGATCCGAAGAAAATGTACATTCTATCTTCTTTGGATTCTCCCACCAGTCGTCTGGTTTTGGTATGCTTTCCTACCCGTCCTAAGGCATAGTTTTTTTTTTCTGTCCATTCGCATTGCTAGCGTGGTCTTGGTAGCGTGACATCAGAAGAATCTGCGCGATGACCATTATCGCGTAACAAACGTAGCAAGCTATACTCACATGTTCAACCCTCTGACCTTTGCATTCATGAGCGCCACCTAAATGACCTCAGAAACAGATCTTGAATTTCTAGCAGGTTGGAATTATTTCCAGCACACTGACTCAGATTGATTCATCCTCAGATCAACCTTGAAGATGGGTCAGTTGAACGGGTGATAGCATCTCATCCGAAATGTGATGTTCTTGGATTCAGAGGAGATCCATCCAAGGTTCTTTTCATGGACTTCAGAACGAAAGAGTATACCGCTGTTGCCTTTGCCTATGACAAACTGAAATGGACAGTACTTCACCCCAGGTACTCCTTGCTTGAACCGCGTCTTAAATTGTAGATTTTTCCCATGTGAATCTGTGCCCCAGATGTAATATCCGGATATAGTCCTGTAGGCTGGCATCGTTGGGTTAGTGTTTATAGAATGTCCTGAAGAAGGCTTCATGTTATCTCAGAGGAATACTCAGAACTGGAATTTACTTTGGTTCGTTCAAACATTTCATCAAATTCTTATCGAACGGCATTTCAGGCCCACAGAGCAATTAGCTCACTACGCCATCCGAGTGCGGATAGATGCGGAATAGAGCGCACAGGCGTGACTAAATGTCTTAACCTTTGAACCAGTCGCACTATCTTCTTAAATATGTTTCTATCTTGACGACGGCTTTAAGACGGGATCCTTTTAATTCATATTTAGCCACACACAACCTACCTTTGTGACTTCTTATAATTAGATGTGGGTAATACGACTTATATATGAGCATTGCCGTGTCCAGTGTACAGGACGACTTTGACCTACTGACTACATACAGGCCAGGAAACATGTACATCGCTAGCAGAGATCGCCAAAATCAAAAGTCAGTTGCAGGCAAACTATCACCTCTCTACCCGCATGCCATTCATCATGAATATTTGTGGAATTTCTGAGAATATCTATAGTCTGGCATTTCAGAAGAATCTCATGGAATTGCTAGATATACTTCAGTGTTGTCAAAACAACTTCGAATTGATTTGATGTCATGGGAAATCGTCATGAAGGTGGGTCGTCACCTACGAAATCGACAATGGATCAGCAGAGACGTATATTTATGAAAGGAGCAGTAAGACGATGACATTACTATTCGAACACCTTCCAAAGCTGAAACAGTAAGTGATATAGAGCTACCCTCGAATCAGCTCCAGTCTTGTGGTTTAGGATGAAAGGTAGGCTGTATTCATTAAATATAGATTCATCAATTTTCATTATGTGCTTCATTCGCAGATTCTCTAACCAATGTAGAGTGTTGGATACCTAAATTACAAAGCTGACTTTTCAGCCATTCCTCTGGTAATGCAAGGTACAAGCTGGGATCAATGCAGCCTCATGTAGTCAAGGCCCGTGATGGTCTTGACATCCTGATATATCTTACGCTACCAGCCGACGTGGAGGTATTTTGGATTCTATTTTTCTGAACGGTTCGTGCTCCTCTTCATTGAAGTGTTTTCTGAATGGACAAATGTATATGATCAAATTGGTGCCTCTTTGACAGCCAAAAAATCTACCCTTGGTTCTGCGTACACATGGCGGTCCTTGGTTTCGAGACTGGTGGGGATGGGATAGCGAGGCTCAGTATTTTGCAAGCCGTGGTTATGGTGAGTTTTAACTATTACAGAATCGTTTAAAGGATATACTTCTCGTTACGAAGAGATAAACCACAAGGCTGCAAAATCCACTGCAGTTGTAGTTCGTGACCGTGTTCCCAATGGCTTTCGACAGTGTTAGAGGCGTTTACGATGTGTTGTCAGATTATGCTTTGGCTTCATATTCTCAACAGACCTGGACAATCTGACAATTTGAACTTGGTCGCGTGCAGCATGCTTGCAGGTGCAATATCGTGGGTCAGATGGATTCGGTAAAGTCTTTCTGCATGCCGGAGATAAGCAATGGGGAGCCAAAATGCAGGTACGCAAACTAGGTGTATGGTTCAGTTTATGCCAGCACGAGTTGGCCACTTTGGCCAAACTGCATCACCGATGTCATCTTCTCAAGCTAGAAACATACGCAATGTCTTCTTCTCGACAAATCGAATCTCGCTGTATCACAAGGGCGGACTTTGTCCGTTATCGAGAAGCGATTGTAACGTGGTTGCAGTGGTGTCTGATCTTACCAGAATGACATCACAGACTCTGTCCTTTGGACCATAAATCAAGGCATTGTGGATAGAGAACGGGTTGCCATCGGTGGTATTTCCTTCGGTAGCTTTTGCAGTTTGGCTGGAGCAGCTTTTACTCCAGGTAGTTATTACTTCCTAGAGTCTCGTCGGCCTATGCATTCTATCATGTGTCTGAGGATCTTGGATCTAGAGCAATTTGCCAGGAATGGTATTTTTGTCAGGAGTTTCTGCAGTCTAGCTGGGTAAGATTTAACCAGGTTGTCCTATTTGGGAGTCCTCTATTTCCCTGCATTAGGTATTTTGTTTGACTTGTGTTATGTAGGCATCATGCTCTTCCTAAGGTCTCATAGGCCTGAACAGAAAAACCCGAGAAGGGTTCCAGTTCCTTCTAAGTTACTGATATTATGTTCTGGATGCAGAACTATATAAATGCTGCGTAGATCTTGTTGGTCCAACCCAAATGAAGACGGTGACAACTAAAATCGTGCCATACTGGTAGGCCTTTTGCCCTGTCGTATGACTGCATTTTCATGTCGTTAAGCAAACATCTAAGCAATATGGTGGTTATATTTGAATTCCTGACGGCTCATTCTCACGATGCCGGCTGTGTTACCAGGAAACCCAAGCGAAAGTTGTTGCATGACAGAGTTATTGACTTGGAGAACGACGATGAGCTGAACCAGCAAAGATCTCCATTCTTCCATGTGAGACCTCCCGGCACCCTGCAGCCTTGCAGACTCAAACATATCTCAATCAGTGCACCTTTGTAGTGTTGTCTATCATGTAAATTCGTAAGTATTGCCGTCGTCAGCGCGTTGTACATAAACGCCACGATCATATGCGCTAGGAATTCCTACATTTACATATTTTACTGGAGTAAATTCTGAGCATATGAGGTTTATTCTTAAACTCGACAATACAATCAAAGAGCAATTCCATATTCGTCAAGTTGATGTGAATCTTCGATGTCTTTACGCAGGCGGATAAGATTCAGGTGCCAGTAATAATTGCACATGGCGGAAACGATATTGTTGTGAACCCTGGTGAGAGTGAGCAAATGTTCCAGGTACACCTTCTGAACGACTTTTCTGTCTACCAAACTCGTGAAGAATCCCAAGCCTATAATAATTCGCTTTAGTTTGAATGTAGGAGAGCCGAAATCCTGCTGAGGTCTTTAATCCCTTGAGGTGCATGAATGTTGTCCTTCACCTGCACATCCTTTAATTGATTATGTTCCCTTGCAGCTTTTTGGAGAAACCTGATTTCCTGACTGGATCATATCTTACAGGCTCTGAAAGATCTGAACAAACCTGTGACGTACTTGATCTACAAAGACGAGGTATGGGAACTTGACGATTCGAGTCCGACTTTTCTTTTGTACATTCTGGGAGGCTGGAATTTTCGTCCAGTAGCATTCACCCCTGTTATATTGTCGTTAGCAGGCTTCTAGCGTTATTGTGAGCTCTCTGAACAAGACCTTGATCTGAGAACTTGCAAATTCTGTATACAGGGTCATTGGCTCGAAAGACCACAGAACAAGATGGACTGGTTCTGGAGGCTGGAGAAACTACTGCATAAACAAATAGGCGGCAAACTTGGAACACCTCCTCCTGTCACCAAATCTGGAGCGTTCTTGGTTTACGATTCCATTGGTCTTTAGGTTAGGTCCTTATATTAGAAAGCATATTGTACATAGCTTGCAACAGACTCCTTACGAGTTGTAACTCGTCTGGGCAAACTCCTAGCTTTTTGTCGCGCAGCTGTATGAATTGAGAATAGCTAACCCCGACGAAACATGACTTTTATTAAGAAGATTGTGAAGCTGGCAACGCATCAAGTATATGAAAAAGTACACAGGGTCATTGGCTCAAGTTGTTGACTAAAAAATCGTACGAGGATATACTATCTCATCAGTCTTCTTATCTACCATGTTATTCCAGCTAGGTGCTGTTCCTTGATGAAAATGTAGTGAAACATCGGACTCTTTTGTACCTCAAGTTGGAAAGCTGATTTGAGAGCGGAATCTCAAGAGTTGCATTTGCTTCTAAAACTCATCAATCTGACATATTTGTTAAAATTGACGGTGTTTCTTTATAACCTGTGGATATGCTGGTGAAGCGCCTTATTGAATCAAGCATCAATTTTATTGAATGAAAGATGAAAACTTCCTTCCTGTTTTAGCAGTTTACTCTTTGAAGTTCATTCCACAATCCTCAGCAAGACGTCTGTCTAGTTAGTAAAATGCTGGTAAATTACATTAGCTGAAGAGCAAAGTAGCTAGGTGGTGAAGCAACCTCAGTGGATTTCGGTAATCGTGGTGTTCGAGCTAAACCCAAGTCCTCGAACATAGGAGGGAACTGGTGAACCAGTATCAAAGGGACCTGCATGCATGAAGGTCAGTGCTGCAGCTCTCTGATAACTACGACCAAGTATGAGCCGCCGCAAGACCACAGGTCAATGTAAAGAAAATGAGCTTGCATATGAACTTAGAGTCACAGCATGGCATGATGTTTCGGATTCTTGAATGGTATCTACTGTTATATAAACATTATTTAAACATTACAGACGAAATTCTTCTTGATAGTATGGTCAGTACTTTCCTCTTGCATTGACCACATCTTCTTTATTTTCCTTCTGTGTTAAAAGAGGGGCGTCATCTTGAAAGCTCTTCTAAGTTAGTGGACTTTACCGTGCAATAGGATAATCGATTGTGGCCCAAATCTCAATTCTTAAGAAATTGACTTATCGAAGTCCTAGGATCTTTAAGGTTTTATGTACAGCACAGACGGCTGTGCAGGAGAAGCATCACTTGGGGGCTCACTAGCACATTTACATACTTCAGTTAATCATGTCAGGCTGGTACAATGGTTCAGCACTCCACATCCAATTGAAGTCAGAAGCAGAAGATTTGATTCCTCCAGTGATCTGCACATTCAATGGTTTGTCGAATATGCACGGAAAACTCTGAGATCCGCAAAACTTATCCTTCATGAGCTTGCCAACGTCGGTATCTGGACAGATGTCGAGTCTTTCCATCTTACTCAAATTTCGGACAACAGCCATACGATGTGCAAACACGATGCGATGAGGGTTTTCTACTACTATCGAAGCATCAACTATCTGCAATCCCCGCAAGCAATCACCGAGTTGAAACAAGTCTTCAGTCTTCCTTCAATAATGTAGGTCGCATATTACAAATTCAAGCTTCAGATGCGGAGTAAATAAATCTCGCATTTCCTAACGAAAATTTCGAGTGAAAGTGAAACATGAAAGAATTTGATGGATGAAGGCAACACCGGCGTCAGCTTTTTTGATATAGACTTTTATTGCATCTCCCTAGGGGTCGGTGGATTACAATAGGTAATCCAGTTATACACAGTTGTAGAATTAAAAATCAGAGAAAGCGAGAATTCAAATGAGAATATTTCAGCTCCTAATTTCACATCAGATTTCTGGATTTCGGAAGAAAATTTCTTCGACATCAAAATCAGAAACTAGATCTCTTCCACTGCCGTTTAAAGTCTGTTTTCAGAAGGAATCAAAATGCTCAATACTTCAGTCATGATCAGGAGATGTGCGCTACGCAAGGTTGCATTCCATGTGGCGAAAGGCGACTCAATTTGCCAACAACCTCTTGCAGCTAGCAGGGAAATGTGATGCAAAGACGAAACTCTCTATTGATGACATTTCTTGCAGCTAACGAGGAAATGTGATGCAATGACGAAACTCTCTATTGATGACATTTCTTGCAGCTAACGAAGAAATGTGATGCAATGACGTAATTCTTGATTGATGACTTCGTACAGTGAAAACTCAAGACAACCTCTGCCTGGAAGCTTTCCGTAAGTTCACAAGAACTTACGTTCGGCTTGCGATGTTTACTTTTATATGTAGATATTGTCGGCTCTATATAAAAATTGTCGTAAAGTACCAACTCGGTACAGCTTTTAGGTGAGCAGTTTCGGGCTTGAACTTCAAATATCAAGAGTGAATGTAAGTTACTAGTTAAGTTAGTAATAGATGTTAGAGTACGTAGATGCAGGTATGAAGCGTCTCATCTCCAGTTCTGTAATGTTCACTACTTGACTGATTCTGTCAATGTCCACTCTCACTGCTCACACTTGGAAGCCAAGTTTGGTTCGGACTGTTGCACCCACAGATTTGACGTCAGAAATCAGGAGGCAGACACTAACGGTAGAAAGTTGTGAGACATTTCGACTCTCAAAAAAACGATTGCTGGAGCTGTACAAGGAATCATATCCCCAGCTACTCAGATCAGCTGACAGCTGACACATCTTTTGCGTCTCGCCTACTCTAAGAAGGTTTAAGATACCAGAAGCTTCATGGAGTCCTTATCTCACTAGCTTACCACTGTAGTGGCGATGCTTCTTCAGCTCCCATCAGTTAGCTTGCACAATAGACGAGCTCAGTACTATTAAGAATTCACAAGTCAGACAAGAATATCAAAAAAGTTTTAACGATGTATACTTTTAAAAAATGCTCCATATTCTATTTCAGAGTACTCACTCTGAAATAGAACTCACCTTGCCATCATCAGCACCTTCAACTCATCGTCATGACGTGCACACTACTACTCAGCGTCTATGCGTGTTTACGGAACCAGGGTTGAGTTGGCTGCATCCACAAACTCTAACCACCTCTTACAATAATTTTCATGCCTGAACTTGCCAGCATGCTGCTGATCGCTCGCTCACTCTGGTGCACTGCGTGCACTAAAACGTCGTGTGCAAAAGGAAAAGTGTGCAAAGGAGTGAATGGCATACGGCTCTCCTGACCTACCAAACTCAATTATCTGACGCAGGGGCTCAGCACGAAAGCGAGAGGGAAGCTGGAAGATGGGACAAGAGGAGTTTGGAGGAGCATGGCACGTCAGACGGTACGCCAATGAAATGAACAAAATGTGGAATGTTTGTCACAGAGCAACTGATTTTCGACAGTTTTAAAACTGCGGGCCATGAGAGATTCAGGGTATGCTGCTGTCTGATGGGGGCTCCAGCGACCACTACGACGCGACATGGCTTACCAAACATGCGAATCGAGAGCCAGAGCGCGACCTCTCAACCTTTCTGGATCTCGTTCGTTCGATTACAGTCGCTCAGTCCCCGCAGCGTGCACTGTCACATGCTCCGCAGGGCAGCAGCAGCTCCTCACGCGCCTGCACGCGACGGGATCTGCTGAGGGCGTGGTCGCCGGAGAACGCTGCGCAGCAGCACGTGCCCAGTCCTGCCTCCAGAATGAGCCCCAATTTGCCCCCTGCTGTAATTAGCAAGAGAGACCATCTGGAGGCGGCAGCGGGAGCTGAATCGATGTTCCGAGTCTGGCGAAGACTTCTTCCTGGTCTCGCACAGTCCACCTTCTCCGAGGACCCCACCTCACGAGGACTTTGAAGACTTCTCATCATCACGTTCAGTTTGCGTTGGAAGGTTTGTAGTAAATAGTTACTGGCTGTTGGTATGACTTGTATGGTCTCATGTACAGCTGATGTTCAGATCGAAGCATAAGAGATGTATATTTCAGGGTGTTCATACTTGTGGTGCTCAGAATTGTTTCAGTCAGATTAGAAAGCCGCGCATTGGAGTAAATTTGTACGAGACGATACACTTGAGAAACAGAGCACGAGGCAGATTTTATTGTAATGAAGCACAAGAACGAAGACGACGGCGGAGAGAGTGAAGTTGTCTGGAGGAGCGGTGCAAGTTCAATATGGAAGACGCGAGTAAAGGAAAGCTCCTCCAAAGCCGGAGCCACTCACGCACGCCAAACTGATGCAGCATCGGCTTTTCTAGCGAGGGTGATTGGTTCGTTTGGCGGAAGGCAAGCAAGGAAGCAAGAAGAGCAGAATAGTCTCCAGCACACGCCGCTGATCCTGCATGGGCAAATCATGGAAGTATAGCAGCCCTGGGGAGAATTTGGATCGTATCGCAAGGACTAGCTCCCGACGTAGGCCTGGACCACCTTTTCCATTTGACTGATTCCTGGAGCAGAGGAAGTACAGTAGGTGTCCGAATCATTGATTGACCTCTTTGACCTCGAGCTTTTCGATCGGTAGGACGGTCTTGCAAGTTTCTCTGGCGGGCGTGCGAGGCAGAACTAACACCGAGCTTCTAGAAGAACACGCTTACAGAACAGGCCTCGCTCATATATCTGTAGACCTGCTCTGCGTGGAGAAATAGAGGGAGAGAGAGTCGTGCAGGGGACTGCGGCAATTACCTTCCGACAGCGCGAATCGTGGGGCTTGATCCTCCGAGGCTCTTCATCCTTTGCTTCCTACAGAGTCCAGGCCTTGCCTGTCCCGTCCATTCCTGGCCTGACCTCACCTGGCCTCGCCTCCCCTGTGCCTTCCTTCGCAAGCCAACTTGTGTTTCTTCCCTGTTCCTTCGATTTCACTCTGCTCGTGGACCAGGCCGTCGAGCGATTGCATATCATCTCTCTGAATGCCTCACTCGACGCTACCTCTTCCCATTTAAAACGTCGCCTGCAAGCTCCCAGCAGCGACGGCTACACACAGCATCTGTACATACATTGACAAATTTTTCGGCCATCTTTTAGTATAGCTCAGAAATTCATCTTCTTAATTGAAGTGGAGAATCGGTTGAACACGATCGAGGTGAAGAAGGAAGGCTTCGATTTTAAGCACGGGCTGCTCTCAAGAGCTAGTGTGATATCGTTGAAAATTAATTTTTCGAGGATAGGATTTTCAGGTTCATAGTTTGTAGATCTCTTCGAGGCTGTGATGCTAGATTGCCCAGGGGGAATTAGATTTTGTGGGTATTAAAGGGAGCGAGGATTGCGGCTTACATTTCCAGGATTTCTCTGAGGCCCATTGGAGAGGCTCTTCTCAGAACGAGCCGAGCTGTTTCAAAGCCAGGATTCAATTCACAGGGCACGGGCAGGATGTCGGATTCTGCAGTGCAAGTCTCTAATGGTGCTGGGAAGGGGTTCTTCCGAACCTTCAAGGAGTCATTCTTGTGGAATTCCAATACCGCTGCCGTCTCGAGAGTCTCGGACAGGTCCGAGGAGCAGCAGGGCACAAAGGCGAGCC